CATATGTCCCTAATGCAGTATTTTACCTTTTTGACTGCATTCAAACCCTGATTCCCCTCCGGTGGTATTCAAGTGGCAGATAACAAAGGACACAGAAGGTGGGAGGAAGAATTAAAATGTGACACCAGAGAGGCAGAGCAGAGCAACCAGCGACCAGCAGCAGGGGAAAAAACAGTGTTTTGGAAAATGGTGTGGCCTGATATTACTTACATTTGTCAAAGAGAAAGGTAAAAAAAAAAGTTTTAATTAACAAGTATGCCCTGTGACATTTTAGAATGACATATCTAATAGCGTTCTAATTGGGGAAATAATGTTAAACAGGTCAGTGTAGATCTAGTCTAAGTTAGTTAAATTCATTTGGTCTACTCTGAGTAAAATTTGTTTGAATACCACTCTTGGAAGGTTGCAGGATAAAGAGGGTTGTTTGCTAAGATCACCCTTCCTACTTTTCTTTCACAAAAGCCTTGGCTGGTGTAAAGAGCCTTCAATAAGTGGAGGAAGACAGTAACATACTGCCCAGAGCATCCTTGCAATCCTGCAAATAACATCTGATTTAAAAAAACAACAACAACTAAGTGCGGAATCAGGGAGCCAGCTAGTCATTCCATATATTTTTTTTACCTGTCCAGGTTTCCCTGCCCCAGTACCAACAAACACTCAACATTCAATGCTACGGGGAAAGTTTTTTTAAAAAGTGATCCTCCACACTACTGAAGTTCCCTTTCATGATGCCAGTTTCTTGGGAAATGGAAGCATCAACGCAAAAAAGTTGGACGAACTGTATCCCATTCAGTGTATTGGAATCATTGAGCTGAGGCCACTTCCACCCATGCTGCCTGACCATTATTATTATAATTCATTCATTCATTCATTCATTCATTCAATTTGTATACTGCCTGTTATATACTGAAGTTATCACCCTGGGCCAGCAGGGGGATATTGTAGATAGTTTTCACTCAGGTCCACATATGCAAATAAGGGATTGAAAGTGACGTTCAGTGATTGGATAGTTACAGAAAATGGTTACTGTTGCGTTCTAGTAAAGCTCTATATAAGCAGGCTGGCTGAACCCTTCAGTTCAGTTCTGTTCTGGCCTGTGAGTAAACAAGAGCTGTTTGAAGAATCACTGTGTCGTCTGATGTGTTCACCCACAACTTAACACTGCCCTTCATCCATAGAACTCAGGGCAGTTCACAACACAAAATTATAATATAAAAGCCACAAGATACATAGTAAAAATAAGAAGATTAGCAAGCCAATAAGCCCACCCTCACAACATAATTAAAAGGGTATCAGATGTCATCAGCCAAAGGCCTGGTTTGAGAGGAACGTTTCTGCCTGGCGCCTAGAGGTATATAATGAAGGCACCAGGCAAATCACCCTGGGGAGAGCATTCCACAAACAGGGAGCCACTGCAGAAAAGGCCTGTTCTCGTGTTGCCACCCTCCGGGCCTCTCGTGGGGGAGGCACACGAAGAAGGGCCTCAGAGGATCGTCTCAGGGTCCAGGTAACCTGCTCTTCTGAGCTGTTTCTTGGTCCTGCAGGAGAGCAATGAGGCTTTCAGACTTATTTTTAAATCTCTCATGGATCCTAAATTACTAATAGTTATGCACAGAACCTGCCAAAATAAACTAAATTGCGTGTGCATTGGAAATAGGCTAGGGGCCATAAAGGAATAATGATTTCAACATGTTCAATACCAGCTGCAGCTGACTCTTCTAATCAGCTGTGACTTCTCTGCTGGGTTCTGTTCTCTCACCTGGAACATTTGTGCCTGCACCAGGTAATTTTGAAAAGGCCGTTTAGGCCAGGCCTCAAAGCCTGCAGCCAGTATGCAGAAATATATATTACTGGCTGATTTCCATCCACCCCAATATCCCCTATAGGCCCATGTTTTGACTCGGGGGGGGGTGCAATGGGTTTTTTTACGTTATATTTTTATGGCTTATTTTATATTCAAATTGTTTTCTCATTTATTGTAAGCCTCACAGAGAACAGGGCAGCCCCCATACACTGCACAGCAAACAAGAGGGTTGTTGTGGGGAGCAAGATTCCATATACAGGCTAGTGCATGGATAGGCAAACTAAGGCCCGGGGGCCGGATCCGGCCCAATCGCTTTCTAAATCCGGCCTGCGGATAGTCCAGGAATCAGCGTGTTTTTACATGAGTAGAATTTGTCCTTTTATTTAAAATGCATCTCTGGATTATTTGTGGGGCATAGGAATATTTCTTTTCAAAATATAGTGGACAGTGGACCAGCCCCCTGCTGAAAAAGTTTTCTGACCCCTGGGCTAGTGCATGTGAGATCTAGCAACACGGCAAAAGGGTGTGCTCTTGCTGTTGTCTTTGTGGAGCCCTGCCTGAAACAGATCTGACAGTGCTGATTGCTAGCGATAAGGAATGAGCTTATTCAGGAAATTATGTCCGGGAAAATGGCTCCTCAGATCAGAAGCACTGAAAGGCTCTCAGGCATAAAATGGGAACACAAACAGCAGAACAGTGCTCTTCAGGAGGACTACTAGCAGTAGTATGGTTTTATTACTCTGTGTAATTAACTGAAAAAATATGACTAAGACTAATGTGAGCCAATAAAAAAATGGAGAGACGTTGAGGTTTAATACCACTTGCATGATATGTACTCTGAGATGTCTGAAAACTAAAGAAAACAACAAGAAGAAGGAACTTGGTTTACAGGGGTCAGCAAACTTTTTCAGCAGGGGGCCGGTCCACTGTTCTTCAGACCTTGTGGGAGGCCAGACTATATATATATTTTGGGGGGGGGAGAATGAATTCCTATACCCCACAAATAACCCAGAGATGCATTTTAAATAAAAGGGCACGTTCTACTCATGTAAAAACACACTGATTCCCAGACCAGATTTAGAAGGTGATTTGGCCAGATCCAGCCCCCGGGCCTTAGTTTGCCTACCCATGGTTTAAGCTACTTAAATTTTCCGCTGTGCACTCCATTAACTGAAGGAAGAGTTGCAATATTCAGCTCATTTGGTCTACAGATCATAAACAAGGAACAATATGTCAATGTCCAAAAACGCATCTATTATTTCAATAGATACAATGACTTTATATACAGTTGCAAAGTATTGCATCTGCTAAACATGTAAAAAATATGCCTTAATATTACATAGGTAAAGGTAAAGGGACCCCTGACCTTTAGGTCCAGTCGCGGACGACTCTGGGGTTGCGGTGCTTATCTCGCTCTATAGGCCGACGGAGCCAGCGGACAGCTTCCGGGTCATGTGGCCAGCATGACTAAGCCACTTCTGGCAAACCAGAGCAGCGCACGGAAACGCCATTTACCTTCCCGCCAGAGTGGTACCTATTTATCTACTTGCACTTTGACGTGCTTTCAAACTGCTAGGTTGGCAGGAGCAGGGACCGAGCAACGGGAGCTCACCCCGTCACAGGGATTTGAACCGCTGAACTTCTGATCAGCAAGCCCAAGGCTCAGTGGTTTAGACCACAGTGCCACCCGCGTCCCTATTACATTGGTAATATTGGCATTTTTTAAAGTGTCCAGAACTTCAAAAGTATATTGACACTTCCACCGCTGGAATTGTATATTGTTAACATTACTGAAGCGCAGTTCACTTTTTGTGCCTGCCAGAGGCAGTTCAGAATGTAACATGAAAATAAAGTGTTGTCTCCAATGATGTAATTCTGCTAGCACAACAGAATTCCCCTACACTCCCAACTACCACGGACAATCAAAATTTGTTCCAGAGATATGATCAATATGATCTATATGAACACAGCATTGGATACAACCTAAAATCTTTTCAGCAAGTGCCATATTCACACCAAAGTGAAAGCAAAATAATTAAGGATTCTACAACATTTGCGTAATTAGTTGCATTACTTTATATACCCTGTACCCGAAAACCTATCAGATTAAGATGATCAAATGAGATATTTTATTTTACATCATTTTACTAAACTGTCCAAAAGACCCCCAAACATTTGATGAAGCAGGAAAAGAAGCTTAGAGGCCAATTATGCTGTGAGAATAATTATAAAAGGAAAGATGTGCTAGAAATGTATTAGAGCCAAGTCTTGAAGCTCTTGATTTTCTATGGAAGCAGAGTTATAACACAACTCCCTACAGTGGAATGAATGATTTTCACAATACTGTCAGCTTCATGGTGTTGTCAGCATCAAGATGATGTTAATATTCTCTAGAAGCATTTCCTAAATTCAACCACTTTCATCCCCTTCTCTGTACCTAACTTCCTTCTGTCCCCAGCCACCTTCCCCTGCCATTTTCACTATTCATTTCTAGTCCTTAATCTCCCCAAACCACTCAGGCCTCCTGTTTCCAATTTCTTACTCCACCCTCCTCCTCAACATTCGCTTTTCTTCCTCTCTCTCATCACTCTGTCAAATACTTCTCTCAGTTCCTCTCTTTCAAGCAGAAATAGACAAAGAAACACTGTGCCACCCTTAGAGTCAGCACACGTAAAATCTAAACAAAGTAGATGAGGCTACTAGTCAAATGATGAAACTTAATCATACAGAGAGAGCTACATTGGAGCAGAGGCAAAGGGAGACCCCAGCTGTCAATAGGACAATCATCAACTTGCCTGTGGAAAGTGGCAAGAAGATAGTAACTGGGTCCTCCTTCATTTTCATTTACTTAATGGTAACGCAGTCTACTGGAAAACTTTCATGTGAGGAAAGGATGGAGCCCTCAAAGTCACAGAAAATCACAGTCCGCTTGCTATGTTGGTTCAATAGCAACGAATTACAGTCCCAAATTCCATTGTGAAAGTAGATTCGTACCATTAACACTGGCCAAAAATTATGCAAACCAAGTTCAGAGTTAGTGATTATTGACGATCCGTGGACTGGCAAGAGAAAGAATTGTACAGTAAGCAAGAGACAGGAAGTCGCTCCTGTCTGTTATAGTAAGCACTGCAGCAGCAGAAGCACAGAATCAGGCTCAACATGGGATTTGCCATACAATGTATGCTAATATTCTCACCTCAAACTTCTGTCTCAGTTCTACATTCCCGTCGTCATCTGCTTCTGGTATCGGAACATTGTAATACTCGCCTTCTTCCTGGTTAAGTAGTTTGTACCTGCATTCAGTGTATTAAAAGGAGAGACTGATTTTGCATCTTTTTCTTATTTCAGCTGGCCTTAAAAAAAGGTATTGCCCAACTACCCATCTCAGGTCTTTTTCTTATGGACCAATGTAACTACTTTCAGGTTAAAGAGACTCTCTCCTTAGCAAGTGTGCTTAAGTTTGCAGCAACAGTGAGAGATGTCACATGGTTGCTTTGATATTTTAAAAACCAACAAAAAAGAACAGTTAGTTTCTGTGTGTTTTTTGTCCTCAATATCTATTGACTGAGGTTTTCAACACTGTGCATTCTTTGAAGACACAGGTGATACATTTAGGAAATATTTAAATATGTCAATAGGATTTATTGCCCATAAATATAGCAATGCATTAGTAACATATTCATAACAAAGAGCTTTTTACCATCCACATGCAGGTGATTTCATGAGTTCCGACACTCCAAAAGAAAGAGAGCCCATGAAATCATTCCGAGTTGTCCGATCCCAATCCCAGACTTCCACGGATAATCTTCTGTCTTTGTCTGTAGGCTTTAACTTACTACGAAAAGAAGGAAGAGAGAAAAAATAGGTGCCGTTCTGTTAATTTATTAAAACACACGATGACGTATGCAATCAGAAATATCACTAGGAAAAGTATCAAATTTCAACTTACAATGTGAATGTCTCACCCCATTGTGGATTAAGTGTGGAACGGATGGTTTTCGTTTTTTGTTTACTTTCATTCTTAGGATCTGGAATAAGCTTCAGCTTCACGTAAGGATCTGAAAGTCCATTTGGATCCATAGGAATCAGATTTCTTGCATCTCGTACTGAAAATATATAGAGACGAACAATAAGGATTAGACAAAGATTGAAAGGGCAAGAAAAGGTTTTCCTGCATCCCAAAAAACCCTTATGTAAGTGATATCGCCTGCACTGATAAGCTTTCTATAGGTTTGTGTGGGGTAATGGAAACCCCTGCAGAAGCCTATGAAAACTGATGCTAATCTGATGGAAGTAAAAAAACAACACACCTCTTTGCCACTCTAAAAAGCCCAGTTCTTTTTACCCCCAGTACGAACACCCAAGAAGTAGACCGCCCACTCCTATCCTTGGTGACAGCAGCTAAAGTTATCTGTAACAAGATCTAAAGTAGTATCCTATATGATTCAAGTTGGACAGCACTGGATAGTTCCATCCAATGTGTTGATAAATACAGATGAGGAGGATCCCTGATACAGTTCTTTGATGTCTCCCCAGTTTAGGAGCAATGGGATTAGGGATCCCTTTGGACCAGAGATAGGAAAAGAGCACACATGCCTTTTTCCACAGCAGGAGGAAACAGGTTTGGATTTCTAGCAATTATCAATGTGTTGGATAATGAAGTGTCAATACAGATACCCTTTTAAAAGATAAGGTCAAATTAGACATAGTTTTCAGTCCCACTGGGCCAAGAACAATTTAAATGCGTGTGATTTGGAGCTAGATCTGGAGAAAAACAACAGTAGAAGGGCAGGCAAAAGAACCGACTGCTTGGAATGCTAAATTCTGCATTAAGTATGCGGGCGTGGGTTGACTGGGGGAGATTATTTGATTATTAGTAAGCAGTGGCATAGCATGGGAGGTGCAGGGGGGGCCGGCCACACCGGGCGCAACATCTGGGGGGGCGCGCTCACAGCTCTCTGCCCCAGTGGCATAGCGTGGGGGGGGGTTAGGGGGCGCAAATTACTTGCCTTGCCCCGGGTGCTGACAACCCACGCTACGCCACTGTTAGTAAGGACAACAACAGTACTGTTGTGTCCTTAAACCCTCATGCATATTTTTTTAGGAAGTCAATAACACCTGCACTCAGCACATCCTAGCCCACAAATATTAGTGGGGTGTGCTTATTAAAAAAATCAATCCCCCACAGCAAAAAGAAAAGAAACTTAAGCTGATCTGATAAATCAGGATCGTCGACAGTGTCTTATTGTGTGAATTGTCTAATGTACTTATATATTTCTCAACCACACAGAAACAGAGTTAGGGGAATGCCTTGTTGCTCATCAATAGACCATCTGTTCTGAATGCAGAAGACACTGGTTCAATCCCCAGAAATATCCAGGCAGCACTGAGAAAGTCTGAAACCCTAGAGAGCTGCTACCAGTCAGTGCAGACAGTACTGAGCTGAATGGATCAATGGCCTGACTCAGTGTAAGGGAGTATGCTCCCTATGGATTAAAATTCCTTTTGAACAATGGTAATCACACAAACCCACAGAGCCCAGGTCGAAAAACAATGTTATTGTAAGTTGGTTTTTTAAAAATTATATAACAATTAACTGGCATGCCTGCTCACATTTGAGTTTATCTGTCTATACTCTATTGTGAGGTGAGCAAAACCATTTTAAAAACCATTCCTAGGCAATGTTGAGAGACTTTTCTGCGTTGCAAGTTTTTAGCACAAGTTATATTGCCCATATGATACAATAGCCCCACTGCGCTGTCTGCATCATTGTGTGTTTTCTTTATTCAGCCCTGAAATTCCCATTCAGTTATGAAGAGGAAGCCTCACACTACTCTATCCAACAATGAATTTTCTTTTAACTGACTTTGTGTTCCCCTTCAGAACAACAACAACAACAACAACAACAACAACAACAACTGAACCTGGTGCTGATCTAACAGAGCATGGGTGAGCAATCTGCAGCCCCACTATAGATGGAACAGTCTCTCTCAGGAAGCTGTGGACTCTCTAGCCTTGGGAGGTTTTTAAGCAGAGGTTGGATGGCCATCTGTTACGGGATGCTTTAGCTGAGATTCCTGCATCTCAGGGGGCTGGACCTTGGGGTCCCTTCCAACTCTACAATTCTATGATTCTAACTACTACTCCCATCAGCCCCAGCTAGTATGGCCACTGGCCAGGGATGATGTGAGTTGCAGTTCAGCAACATCTGGAGGGCCAAGGGTTTCCCACACCTGTTCCAGAATGACCACCTCACTTCACTCCATGATGTAAGCACTAGATTCAGGCTAGTGCAAATAACACCTAGAGAAGTAAGTGTGGAGCATTTCTGGATTCCATAACAACTCTGCCCAGAGCATGGCTGGGAGAATAAGAGGAGGAATACTGTATCCTATTAAGGAACTCTTGCTCATAATTATTCTGCTCTACCTGTGGCATTTAGCAACTTATCGCTAATGACATAATAAAAACCATGCCAGTATTTCTCATGCTAGGAATCGCAGGTAAAATTAACGAAGTTAGACGGCACTTAGTTTGCCCCCGCCCCCTCTGTGATTTTGCTGCCCAAAGACAAGAGACAGAGATGTCAAGAGATATATTTAGTGGCAATATACAATGATTTCTCCCATGCTGAACTGAAGACTGTAAGATGCCCATGTGGTCATTTGTGCGATGGGCAATAAAGGGAATATGTCACGGAAAGTTCTGCTTTGGAAATATTAACCATCAACGTCTGGGTTTTGTATTGCTGACCTTAAATCCACCTGCTTTTGGCTTAGAACATTCGGTTCACATTCATTTGCAATAAACAAACAAACAGCATTTTTCACCACAATTTCCAATGAAGTCAAACAGTTGGTGAAGTTTTAGAAACGGCCAGAGGCATCATTATGTTTTAAGAATGACTGCATCTAATAATTCTGGGCTCAAACGTTATCTACCTTTCTGAACTACTGGGGTGGCTTTAAGATGAAACTGTATCCACAAGTTGCCCAAAAGAATTACCAGTAAGTTATGGTTTAAGTACATGTCTCCACACATATGGAAAGTAATATTATAATAATCACCTTATTCTTGTGATAATCTCTCTCTCATACACACACACACACACACACAACCTAGCAGATAAAACACTTTTGTTTTCCACAGTCTCTGCATAGAAAAGAAGAAGAGATGGTGGACAATTCACAGTGAAACTGAAAGCAGGTATCAATTCTGCACTGAGAAGTGTAGAAAGCAGAAAGCCATAGTTAAATTCCATACCATTATGTTTTGTACTTTCTAGTCCTACCAGTTCACTGTCTGGCTTCATACAGACACATAAATGCATCTGCAGAAAACCAAATCCTTTATTTTTAATTTATATTTATTTAACAAAATTTATATACTGCTTGATTGCAAAAAAAACACAACCCTCTAAAACGTCCACAAAAATATAAAACGAAACATTAAAATTCTCATTAAATAACAGTTAAAAACAGGTATTAAAAACTTTCAAAAGATGTTAACAATTAACAGTTGCTAAAAAGAGACAAAAGCTATTAAACAAGTTGGGGGGGCTGCCCTTTCATTTGAGGAAGGGGACTGCAATCCAGTGTAGGCTCCCATGAGAGAAAGTAGGCAGGTGATTTTTGCCCATTTCCTCTCCCTGCTGCAGCCCCCTACTCTCTCACACACACAGTCCTAGAGGGGCATCCAGTCCACCAGAAGAGATTTTCAATGCGTAAAACGGCTAAAGGGGGGGGGGGAGAAATATCAGTGGAAGATAACTTCTCCACCACCTTTCCAGCAGGAATGTCCTGCAAATGTAGGAACCTTGGATTCAAGCAACGTGATTTGTTTTTAAACTGTCTCCCAGCTTAATTTCTATTACCACAATAAAACAACAACTTGCAGACGTTTGAGGCAGGTGATTTGGGTCACTGCTGCGGCTTTCACTTGATTTCTGAAGGTAGAAAGTATCTGAATAATTAACTTAGGTGTTGGATAAACCAGAGTCTAATATTCTGTAAACTTTAATTGTGTGCAGAAACAGCTCCATGGAAAAATCACAACTTGGAACATCTCTCCCCAACCAGCTTTTGAGAAAATGACCCATTTTCTTTTCTGAAAATACAAGCATGGCTGTGGTGGGAGTTACAGCGGCACACTAGAGCTTTTGTCTAACAGAAACAATAAACAATGAAAAGCAAAGGGCCGAGAATCTCTAGCCATGTCACAAAAGCACACAGCAAAGGGTATATTTGTTCAATAAAAGGCCAGAAGAAACATTTCTTAAATTATTGTTCTACACTATGAAACCCAGCATTAAAAATATAATGCCAAGTAAGGAAAGCAACATGTACAGGTTGCATCATTTTACTTGAACTTCAAAACGAAATCAAATGAACTGCTTGCTGCACCATTACATACTATATGCATTGCAGGGAGAGGAAAACAGCTCAGTGTAGTAGTGTTGTTGTTGTTGTTGTTTAGTCGTTTAGTCGTGTCCGACTCTTCGTGACCCCATGGACCAGAGCACGCCAGGCACTCCTGTCTTCCACTGCCTCCCACAGTTTGGTCAAACTCATGCTGGTAGCTTCGAGAACACTGTCCAACCATCTCGTCCTCTGTCGTCCCCTTCTCCTTGTGCCCTCAATCTTTCCCAACATCAGGGTCTTTCCCAGGGAGTCTTCTCTTCTCATGAGGTGGCCAAAGTATTGGAGCCTCAGCTTCAGGATCTGTCCTTCCAGTGAGCACTCAGGGCTGATTTCCTTCAGAATGGATAGGTTTGATCTTCTTGCAGTCCATGGGACTCTCAAGAGTCTCCTCCAGCACCATAATTCAAAAGCATCAATTCTTTGGCGATCAGCCTTCTTTATGGTCCAGCTTCCATACATCACTACTGGGAAAACCATGGCTTTAACTATACGGACCTTTGTTGGCAAGGTGATATCTCTGCTTTTTAAGATGCTGTCTAGGTTTGTCATTGCTTTTCTCCCAAGAAGCAGGCGTCTTTTAATTTCATGGCTGCTGTCACCATCTGCAGTGATCATGGAGCCCAAGAAAGTAAAATCTCTCACTGCCTCCATTTCTTCCCCTTCTATTTGCTAGGAGGTGATGGGCC